CAAAAAGCAACAAAAATTTAGCAAAGACGGATATAATAGCTAAAACACACCCAGGGGTCGAGTGTCAGGGTGCTGAGTCACGGTGAAAGCGAGACGCTGAATATTCACGCGGATGTGGGGCCCTCCTCGTGTTTCCCCCTGGCGGATGCTAAGGGAACTAATTTTTTTGCGTGGTGGAAAGAAATTAAGATGATATTGATTAAAATTATATTAATGACATTAAGAGGATAACATTGATAATTATAGTAATGATGATGATGATAATAATAGTGATGGTGATAATAATGATGATAATGATAATAATAATGATAATGATAATATTGATGATAATGATAATAATAATGATGATAATGATAATGATAATGATAATATTGATGATAATGATAATTATAATTATGAGAATAATAATTATAATGATGAGAATAATAATTATAATAGTAATAATGATAATAATAGTAATAGTAATAATGAGGATAATAATAGTTATGATAACGGTAATTATAATAATGATAGCAAGAATTATGTTGATAATAATTATTACAATTATCATAGCAGAAATAATAATAGTAATGATATTGATGTTAATAATAATAATGATAATAATGATAGTGATAGTAATAACAATAATCATGATAATGATAGTTTTGCTGATTACGATTATAATAGTTATGAAAATGAGATTGTTAACGTTATTGATACTTTTTTCACTATTAATTTCATTATTACTGTTTATATTTATTATCATTGATGTTGCTACTGCTGCTATTATCATTATTATAATTATTATCCTCCTCATCATCATTAATCATTATCCTCATCCTCCTCCCAGCACCATCATCATCATTATCACCATCATCATTATCATCATTACCATCATGATGATAGTAATAATGAAGGTGATAATGATAATAATAATAAATATAATAATAATAATACTATGATATTGATATTATGATGATAGCAATTATAATTATGGTAACAGTATTACTAATGATGATAATTTTACTACTACTAATGATAATAATAACGATAACAATATCAATAATAATAAGTACAGAAAAGAAAAAGATTTCATATATTATTAACACAATATATCATTCCACAAGCACAGAAGTAGGATTTAATATCACAACAAGAGAACCAATTATTACACAACAAAATTACATAACATTGCGTTGTATTATTAGAACTAATATCAACAATGACTGAGGACTTTATAGGGCTTTGGGAAGGTTGGGAAAAGGAAAAGGAAATGTCAGTAGTTTATTGTTATTGTTAGTATTATGATTATTACGTCCGCCATGGAGGTTATGTTTTGTGGTAGAGTTGGTTAGTTAATTTGTTTGTTGAGTGGATTAATTCGAAGAAAAGTTATGAACAGATGTTTATGGAAAAAAAAATCCCAGGTGTGTTTTAGCCCAACTTAGATGCTATTAAATTTTGGTGGCGCTAGTATTTGCAAGCAGGATAGCTCAAAAAAGTTAAGAACGAAGTTTTATGAAATTTTTACCAGAGGTGCATCTTATCTTAACTTTGATGCCACTAGATTTTCGGATCCAGGATTTTTTTTATTGCATCAGTAACCCTATTGCTTGGCGGAGGTATAGTCTCTCGGAGTGCTTCTAGCTGTTGTTGTTATTATTGCAGTTTTTTCTTATAATTGTTAGATCTGTAGGACAGGGTTTCCCAAACAAGGGTGTTCGCAAACTTAAGGGTGAAAGATAGCATTCCAGGGGGTGAAAGAAGTGTCCTTGATAGGCAATCGATCAATTCAATTCTCTGTTTTTCCCCGTTTTGAGAAAAAATGGTAATTAAGATACAGGAACAAATGAGTCTTTGGATAAAAAATCGTTGATAAACGTTTCCAGGTTAGTTCTTTAACTTTATTATTTGTAGCCTTTTCAAGCACGAGTGATTTTTTTAAGGGTTTATTCAGATATTAATCTGGGACATAATTTCTTGTCCATATGTTTGATTTTTATTCACCTTTTGTTAGAAAATGGATTAGATGTAAATTTGCAGGGGGTGCGAGGGCACAATAGATTTTAGGGGTACGGGTGTAAAAGAAATGTTTGCTGTAGAAGGAATGTTTATTATTATGTTTATTATCATTATTTGTTGCTGTCGTTATCATTAAAATTATCATTGTCATTTTCATCATTATCATTATTATTATCATTTTGACTATTATTATGATTATTATCATCATCATTATCATTATTATCATTATTGCAGTCATCCTTATTACTAATATCAGTATTAACAATAATTATAATTCTTCTTTCGGTGATTTCGGAAACGGTGTGAAATAAAAATGCCTTTTGGTTAAATCCAAGTAATATTCTGTATACGAATCAGACAATTTATTCTGTACTCAAAAGGACATATATCCTAAAATAACAACAACAACAACAACATCAACAAAAACAACATCAACAATAATGATAATGATAATAAATAAATAAATAAATAAACTAAAGATTTTTTTTTGTCCCCGCAG